TCCCTCCATCCCTCCCTCCCTCCATCCCTCCATTCATCCCTCCATTCATCCATCTATCCATCCATCCATCCCTTACCTTTGTTAATCGTTACGAAAATTTCATAATTCCTTTCGTTAATATTCGTTTCCCATCCATTCTCTTTACTAAATAGATCTCAAAGAACAAAGGTCTGACAGCCAAGAAGAAGAAACAAGAACGGAACCCTCGTGTAAAACACAGGAAAAAGTACACCAAAGCTGTCATCAAACGCAAGAGTCAGGTACGTGGATTATTCATAAGGAATAAGCAAGGGTAGTGTAGCGCGTAGTGCGTTCGCCTCTCACCTCTGGGGTCTTTCCTTTCCTTTCCTTTCCTTTCCTTTCCTTTCCTTTCCTTTCTTTTCTTTTCTCTTCTCTTCTCTTCTTTTCTTTTCCTTTAAGTTCTGATTCGATCTGTATCCCGACTTTTATATTATAATCGGCCATAATAAAATATGTCTATGGGATATATTTGCATAAAAGGCAGACAGAACGCTTCCTTGACACTCAAGTAACTTCCGAAACAAAGCATTGTGATTGGATGCGCTTTCTTCCGCTTTTTGATTGGCTTAGAGTGGAAGCTACTTGATAGTCTTGTGCTTTTCTTCCGAGCACAAAAACTAGCCAAAAACACAGGGAGCCCAATTTGATTTTTTGTTCTTCAAAAAAACAATCCATCTTTTCAACTTATTATTACCTGTATCTAAAATTCTATTCCCTTGAACGAGACCCCAACATAAATGGTAGCCCCTACTCTCAACGCCCTAAAGCTATTGACGAAGTATACCGGCCTTCTGTTAACACACAGAACGTTTGTTTTCGGAGCGATTTTAGTACCGGATAGATGTAGCTCCGGTCTGATTTCAAAAGTGATATTTCCTTCGTAGCGGATAGTTCTTTTTGTCGCTCTAAGTTTCTCCGTTCAAATTCATTATATTTGCAGGGGCGTAGCCAGGATTTTCCGAAAGGGGGGTGTTTGGGGGGGGGGGGGGGGCAAATTCAAAAATCCGCCATTTTGTTTGAGCCACCAAAACGCCGAACCAAAAATAAAACGGCATTTTGTTTTATGTTTTAATTTTACAAAAAATAAAAATAAAAATAAAAAATTTGAAAATTACCGTATGAATTCTAAAAAGCYGTAAAATGTTGCCACCGAGAGGGGTGCCCTGGCCCTCTTGGCTCCCCTCTGCCTACGTCCTTGATTTACCGTAATAACAAGTTAKCCGGTGAAATGTATGCGTTGGCTAAAAATTCAGTCGTAAACCGCTTCAATGTGACGCAGCGCATATGGTTACAAGAGCTACAAATACTGATTTGTTTTTGTGTTTTTCTTTCCCTTTCTTTAGGTGCGCCCTGTTGTTACCGAGACAAATCGCTACGAGGGAGAGAAGTCTGGCATCCGTGCCTTCCTGACCCGCAGCGTCAAGATCAAATAAGCACTGCATACTCCCTCATATAATCACACAAAATTCTTTCTAAAGTCCCGTTTACACTGGCGATTTTTGCGGGGATTTTTGTGGCAATTTTCGGAAATATGAAATCTTTTGTCTTATCCTTCAAAAGAGACATTCGTCTAGGAAAATCTTGGTATCCTGAAAAAAAACTTTACAAGTAAATTCTTTACCATTATTTATTATGGACAAAATCGCAAAAAATCACCGTCAAAAATCGCCGCAAAAACAGCGTTCTACCTTCACTGCATTCAATCTAACAAATTTCTTGGTAATTTATTTTTTCATATCTTGGGCCCAGAATTTTTTCTGGGTTTCCTATGTTTGTTCCAGAAGTTTTGAATTAATTATTTATCGAAAAAGAAAAAAAGAAAAAAAAAGACTTAGGAGCCTGAAATCTTTACCTAAAAAAAGATAATGTTCTAAACAAATATTTTCGTACCTTCAGTCACAACCTCACAAAATTCTGGCAAATTCTTTATCGAAAAAAACAAACTTAGATTCGTTAATTGACAGTCACAACAGGAGCCCGAAATCCTTAGTTGAAAAAATAATTTGAAAAATTAAATTAAACTCTGCTTGCAGAATTTCAACGGGGATTTTTTCCGTGAGAAGATGTGCGCCAAACGAAATTTCCTATCACAATTACACGTAATTTTTGGTGATTTCTTTATAGAAACAACTGTTTTTCAGACTCGTTATATCAAGCATTTCAGTAAAAGATTCCATCGTCTTGCCTTCTGTAATGAGGAATTCTTAATAGAAAGAACTCAAAAAGGAGTTCTGTTAATTGTAATATCAGGCAAGATTTGAAATCTTTCAATATACTGCGGCAGATGGTATTGAAGATCCATCTTACACCCCCTTAGAGCTGGTTACCATAACGACTGTCAATCATAAGAAGATTGCAGTCGACGAGAACGTGTAAATGAGTTACCTTTTTATGAAAGAGCAACGAAATATGAATGAAGTCATTAATGAAAATCTTTTGGCGTTTGAAGGAGTAAAATGAAAAATTTAAGTGATTGACATTGGGACGCTTGCATATCACGTGACATTTCCCTACCAAACTCATACGAGACAAATAAATCAGAAACATGGCAAACAGGTCGACAAGAATTGTAAGAAAAATTAGATTTTTCTTCACCTTTTCAATCTTGTCTGGGTTCATTTCCGCTTTAAAATAAATTTAACATCGCCTTAAACACTTGGCAGTTTTGAAATGGTCGTAACAAATTTTTCAAATGAGGGGACCCCCCACGGGTGATGGAGTACTTTGGGTATTTAGGCAAATAATTGTCAAATTGAAATATTTAAAGAACGAAAAAAATATGAGGACATTAACTAGTTTAATTTTTTGATCTTTTGATGATTTTTTTTTGTTAGAGAATAAATAATCTCATGTATCAAAATCGTGACCCCCCACCCCCCCCCCCTCACTCTATAAACATGATTTTACGAGTTGACAACCATAAATGAACACGATTACGGAGGCGGAACCCGAGGTAAAAATTATTCAAATTTCGAGGACAAAAGTGTGTACACAACATCTTTACAGGAGCTCGCTTAACAGCTTTGTCACTGTTAAAAGCAAGTTGAGTTCAAACAGGCACCCTTACTTTACAGATGCAAGATTGTTTTTATAAATCATGGCAGAAATCAATTTGAAAACAGAACAGGAAGTTCTTCAGGCTTTTAGGGTTCTACGACTGAAAGCTAAAAGCCTTGGAATCAAGGATTCTTCTCTGATCCAAGTGAAATCTGTAAAAAATTTAAAGAGGAAAACCTCTTGGAGGTACATCGGTACATTTCTCGTTGGTTTCATCGCTGTTGTTATCGGATTTGGCGTCTATGCCTTCAAAAGTAACACACTCACACAGAGAGCATTAGTCGAGTTTGTGGCTGACAAAATCATTGAAACAGATCTTAATAAAGACAACTGTTTAATTCCTATGCCAGAGTTCGTTCTGGACCTATTTCGGCCTCCAGTGGACTGCAATATCTGTAAAAACATCAGTAAAGTAGACCGAGTTAAAGCAATTACCCGAGAGGAGTTCTTAGAGAAGTACGCTTATACAAGCCGTCCTGTTGTCATTGAAGATGGCACGCAAAACTGGACTGCTCAAAAACACTTCAGTTTTGACTTTTTCAAAACGATCTACAGCCCAGACAGCCCTGTTTTAAAGAACCAAGACTCGCAATGCCAGTTTTTTCCTTACAACACGAAATTTCAATCTCTTGAAGAAGTTTTTGAAATGCCTGAAAAAGACGCAAAGATGGAAGGCAAGAAATGGTACATTGGTTGGTAAGCGATTGACTTTTTAACTCCTTTATAAATTTGATCCTAGATAATTATTATTTTAAGCCTAATATGTTATAATAGCCTAAATATCCTTAAGGAATCTCAATTACACGTAAAACGAAGCGAGCTTGCTATGAGCATGGATTATTTATTTAATATTTAATAACACAATACTGATTTTKTTAAACATGAATTATATATAATTTAAAAAAGGTGATTCGGATATAACTTCATTTAGCTATAACTTATCGAAATTGAGTTTTTTATACTTTTTTTCTTTGCTTGAAATGTCAGTTCCGTATTCGTAAAAACGGGCTTGGTGAAACAGCTGTGAACATAAGCGCGTATTTTACAGGAAATTATTCCTGTTAAAGTTTGTTCACTAAATTACCTATTGTCATCGTCAAACTTCAAGCATCTGTTCGATCTTGTGAATATACCAGCATGTCTGTTGCATAGTTACTTAGTAACACCAATCAGTTTCAAACACGTCAACGGGTGCTATTATAATTTGGCAATCTTTGTTTTTCTCTTGAAAAAATATGTTTCAATAATTCTGTCATTACATGGCTTGTCCTGAAAGCTTTCTTGGATAAAGTCTCATTCTTATAAAGTCTTCTCAGATAAGGGAGCATGGAGCACGCGGAGGGCCAAATAAGAGACTGGTGTAGGGCTGGAAGTTCCATGATTGAAAGATACTAAGAGACTAGTATGGGAGACTACCAGCCTCTCCCCCTCTGCGGTACCTGATAACGGTGTTAAAACTGTTCTGCTGTTCACAAGAGCAGGGGATTGTTGCTCGATAAAACGGACTGCTTTCGGAGGCATGTTTAAAAACAACTTCCTTACTCTGTAGGCTGCATTTATGATGTATAATGTATGGCAGGGGGGAGGCAGGAGAAATTAAAGGGGAATCAGGAAAATGTTTATCAATGAAATGGAGAGGATTGAAATTTTTTATCAGAGAATGAGTCACTTGCATTTTAGCCTCGTTTACTACCACTACCAGTCTCCCTTGCACACTTTCTTTTGTTCAGTAAATTAGCACCAATTGTTTTACTATTCTCATGAGGGAATACAAATTCAAATGAGAAACAAAGTTCGCATAGCATTTTGGTAGTGGTAGTAAAATGAAGCCATCATGCAATTGGCCTATAGAGCATTTTCACGTGACGTCACAGCGGCCATTATGGGGTACCAACACAATACATTTTCTATCCTCYGGGAATTGAACTCTATTTTTATGCAAATACTGTGCAGAAAGTTTCTATTGTTTATGGCTGCCTTCTCACGTGAGTGAAAATGCTCTATTGTGGGGATGCAAGATTTTTAGAAGAAGCTACAAGAGATTGCCCAGGGGGTGGGGGGCCGAAGAATTTTCTTTGTCATTTAAAGATTTCACCTCCAATCCCCCACCCCATCTGCCATACATTATGAACACAGCCATAAGGAGACATGGACACACATTATTTTACTTGATCGTCATTCTAGTTGCGACCAGTTGTGTTCTTCTGTTTCTAAACATTCGTTAGAACACCAGTTATTAACTTTGTTTGCTGTTCACAGGAGCAACTGTGATTCTGGAGCTGCTAACGAATTGAGAAAATATTACAAGAGGCCATACTTTCTCCCTGAGATTTCAGAATCAAGTAAAACAGATTGGATTTTCATGGGCTGTCCAGGAATTGGCGCACACATGCATGTGAGTTCTAAGTAATATATAATATAATAAATATATGATTAAGTTATGAAAGGTTAATCTGCCTGCAAATGGAACAAAAGCCATTCAATTTTCTGTCATTGAAGTTAAGCGTTCTTAAAATGGGGTCTTGATTATATTTTAAAGCCAACATTTCTACAAAATTGAATTTGGTCCTAGTAAAGAACTGCTTGGGGAAATTGAATCTTTTGACATTGTGTAGTTCCAAAAATTATCCACACCCTGTCCTCACGGAGGACTTTTTTTAAGACACACCCTACCCCGAGAAATTCCAATTTTCTTCCATACAAACTCTGTAATTTTTGTTCTTTCTCTGACCCCTCCACCCTTCGGAAATTCCAAATTTCTCTGTGGGGTGGGTATGGATGATTTCTGGAACTACACATTTGAATTTCATATAAGTTTGTCTTCATTAATTACTTGTAACTTTTTTTGCATTAAAGAAAAAAATTGCGAAAGGCTTTCTCTAATAGAAATCCCATTTAAAATTTTCTCTAATTTTGTGAAAAACGTATTTCCAAGTTAGTACTACTAAAGTGGTGCATTTGAGTGGCTTTTTCTGTATTAAACACCATTAAAACTTGTGAACTATTTAATTCTATCAAAAGTTGCACTTGAATTTCCAAGGAAATTTTGGTACTTGATGATTTTACGAGGCGTTTGAATTTCTTGATAATTCATCAATTCAATAATTATAAATTCGTTTTTAACAGTTTTTTGACGCGAATACTATTCAAGTGCTATAAAAGCCATTCAAGTGCTCTCTATTAAATATTGCTTAAAATTTGCATAAAAAAGCTCTCGAGTTAAATTTAATAAGAAAAATGACAATTAAACAATATAGAATAAGTGTTCTTTGATAGAATTATTTACCTTCTTGAGGTTAATGTTTTTATTTGCTCTGGGGGAGGGTGCGAAGTAAATTAGCTCAAAATAGCTCAAAATTGGCTGGCAATTAGTACAGACCAAGATAAATCACAGGACAAGAAATCTGAGAATAATATTGTTTGTTTAAGTTTTTTTTATCCATATTCACTTGCCTTTCTGTTTTCTTGTGGTAAATGGGATCTTATTCTCTGAATTAAGATTTATACAATTCTGTGTTGAACTCCAGCCTGCCCTGTCGCACGACTATTAATCTTGCTCATTATTTTCCATGGACGGGGAGGGGGGGGGGTGGGTTTCGCTTGCTAACCCTTAAAAGAATCCTGACCCCACCTTTCATAAAAATGTCCACTTAAGCCCTTAAGATATTGACTGTTGGCTTATTGCTTTTCTTATTTCTTAGATTATATATTTAGTGGACTTCAAATGTGATTCATGGCATGATTGATAAAAGTGGATGAAATGCATTCTCTGGAAGAAGTATGGAAGATCCTAGCTTAATTTCAGTTTTTTGTTTTGGTTTTTCAGATTGATCAAGTGGGGAATCCATCCTGGCAAGCGCAGATCAGTGGCCAAAAAAAGTGGACATTAGAGCCGCCACCAGAGTGTGCTCATATCTGTCATCCAAAAATGGAAGTGGTCGTACATCCAGGGGAGATAAGTAAGTTTGATGCAAGTTGTTTTTCTTCAACAAGCAAATCTCCTTGCGTGTGGCTGAGAGGATGGAAGCCACAGTCACAGTTTTTGAGAGGGATTGTTTTGGCAGCACAACCCGGGGAAGGGGGGGTACTCTTGCCAGTTTAGGGTAGGCCTGTTCCAGAGTAAAATGGCTGAAATTCATACCCTGTTCCAGAGCAAGATAGCTGAAAATCACAACCTGTTCTGGTATTGCGAAAATGGATACCCTGTTCCAGAGAGGAAAGAGCGTAATTTCATATACTCTGTTCCAGAGCGAGCGCGATTTTATATACCCTGTTCCAGAGTAGAATCGCTGAAAACCATACCCTGTTTGGAGGCACGTATCCGTATAGCGAATATATATCATATTTTAACATCAATTCTGTATGTTCAGTTGTTTTAGATACAAACAGATGGTTTCACAAGACAGATATCCTGGAAGGACAGTTGAGCATAACTATTGGCTCCGAGTATGATTGAACATGGTAAAGGAACCATATACTAGTTGAATGACATAACTTTGGCGTAACATTTTCCCATATCAGATCATGAGTCATTCCCTTGAGTATTATTTCTTTCTTTACTGTCAAATACATTATTGATATACAATGTGTTGTATGTAACAGTTATTGTGTCATTCCCTTGAGCATTATTTATTTCTTTACTCACATTTTGAGAGCCATGTAGCAAGCAGTTGAGATGTAATGTTTTCATAAGAATACAATGAATCGCACCTAATGCTATAGATAGAAGACAAATGAACACAATAGATTTTTTAAATGCATTACATGAACTGACTTCTATATAGGCTCTTCCTATTCACATTTACAGTAATATGTTTGGGTTGTAACGTGGACAAAGAACAGTCCCTTTTCTCATTCCGTAAATACCACTGAAGACTCATCTCCACAGGCTTAGCCTCGCTTAAGAGTAAATCATTTGCAAATGTCAACTTTAATGTAAAGAATGTGCAGCTTGAACAATACCAATGTTTTGAAATCCCACAGACTTTTAATGGTATCTGTGAATAGCTGACTCATAAACGAGGCTAAGACTGTGCAAATGAGTCTGTAGTCTTCAAAAATAGCGGTATGCATTGAATGGGGTGGAAACTGGGGTGCTATAGTCTCGAAGGGAATGGCGCATGTTCTGAAATGGGAAATTGTGCCTACACTGACCACAAAATTCTAGTCTTAGCGCCATTTGCCTTAGTTGTGATATGCAACAGAGCAGCACATTTTTTTTACAGAGAAGTAATATAACTTATTGACAGACATTATTGAATCCCATAATCTAAACCGTACTGTCTTGCTTTGTTGGCATTATGTAATGTTTAATAAACGAGCAGGAGTGTTTTATCGGGTATAAAACACGAGGCGCAGCCGAGTGGTTTTAGACCCGATAAAACACGATCTGCGAGATTATTGAACGGCTTAGAAAACTTATGATGTTTGTTCT